GCACCTAGCCGCCTAGTCCCTTTGCTTTTCATTCCCAGACCCCAAGACCAGGCCCGCAATGGAGCAGTAACCCTTACCATCTCAGACCATCAAGCTGTCCCTTTCCCCCCGGCACACCCCGGTCATCTTGATGGGGGCAGCCATCTTGAGTGATGGCAGAACTGCAGCTTCACGCTGCACTCTCAGCATAGCCACAAACGCCATCTTGGGACCTGGCAAAGAAAGATAGCAAAGACCCAACCCTCCCCTGATTGGGTCCCGCCCTATCAGGGGGAAAAAAAGGCGCTTCGGACTCCCAGGAACCAATGGGAGAGGAGGAAGCGAAGGATTGGCAGGTCTGATGGCCCGAGAGCTTCAACCTCCGTGCTGCAGAGGCGGGTGGAACTTGATTGGTGGCTCCTTAGACTTAAATAGAAGGCCTTAGCCCGCCAGGCCTCTCTCTCCAAGGTCGCCAAAAGCGTTTGCGTGTATGGGACGCTAGGGGGAGCATCTTGGAGTTTGGACCGCTGAAGCTAACTTCCACCCTGAAACTACAGTGAAACTACAAGCTGGGAGCCCTGTGAATCCTGGGTGGTATCGCTTCCCCAGTTCCCGGAAGGGCCCCTAGAAACTTCTCCGCACAAGATGAGCGCTACTGAAGCACCGCTGTCCCTCGGACACGGATCCACACCTCCCCTCCAAAGTTGGCCCTCTTGGTGGAGTGTGAGTTTGCGGTAGAGAAGCAGAGTGGTGGCAAACCTATTCCTCCACACGGTTCTGGCAGAGCTATTCCGGCAACAGCTGCCCTCTGTAATTTTAACCCTTCCCGCATTGAGTCTGCAGGAAGGGGCCTCCAGCCCCCAAGTGCGCTCCACCCCAGGGTTAGGCAAGCCAGTGAAGTGACTTGCAAGCACCATGCACTCCACAGAGCAATGACAGGAGATGGAGTAAGGGCTCTGGTTGCTGCCCCCCCAGCTCCCACACCGCCACCCCCGTCTCTCAGGAATGTGCCAGGCACAAAGGAAATACATTTCGAGGGCAAAAAGGTGAAGACACAAATGCTGCCCATACCGATTCAGCTGATTTCACCCAAATGCTTTGAGCCTCTGGATGAACCTCTGCCCTCCCTCAAATCAGGGCTGGGATAAGGGCCAGGGTCTTGGGAAGGGGGTGGGGGGAGGTGCTGTTGCCCCTGCTTACTCAATATTGACTGACCACAACCTAGCACCGATAAGGTGATCAAATGACTAGGCACCTTCAACCTTTATCCAGGTGGAAACTTTTTACTCACCTCTCTTCCTGCCAGAGCCCTCCAGGTGGTGGGGGAGGGCGGGCACGCACAGGCTATTTTCTGAATTTGCTTTGTTGGGGGTAGGGTATACACATTGATCAGGGCTCTTGTTACACCCCCACCCCCACCCTGTCCCCTTTTACACATTAACTCGGAAAGGGACACAGTCAGTCACAGCTGCCCTCTGCCTCATCCCCCTTTCCCTCAACCCCCATTCCCTACTCCCCTGACCCCGACTGTAACTCCTTTCTTCAGTCCCCAGTTCCCCACTGCCAAGTGGAGGTAAAGGGGAGTGGGGCTTGGCAGAGCAAATCAGCCCAGCATGGACTAAAGTTGCCCAGGGCTGAAGGCTCAGAGTCCAAAGAATGAGGAATCCCTCCTGCTGCTATTAGCAAATCCAAAGACTGCCCAGCTAGCGCCAGTCTCCAAAAGACTGAATCTCAGACAGTAAGGCCTGCACTTCCTGCCTCTCAGCCCATTGCCATGCGGCCCGCGTTCCAGTCTCCTTTCCTCCTCCATTTCTTCAACTTGTTTACTCCAACATGGGCCCTAACCCGCTGGGCCCCTGTGCAGTCTCTGTCACCTGACAGGGTGGGGACACAGCCAGGTATATAGCCCTTGCCCCTCCAGCCAGGCCAGGCACTGACGCCAAGGACGGAGACGTTGACTAAGTAAGGTAAGGGAACGAGAGGTGCAGGCAGCATCCACGGAGCACTGGGCTTTAATTGTGGAAAGGGAGGGAACCAGGGCGGGGCAGGGGGAGGCACTTAGGTAGGGAGATCCTGGGGAAGGGGCTAAGAGCGTGTGGCTTCAGTGTTCCTTCCCTTCTCGGCACTGTCCCCAGACCATCTTGGCACTGTCACCACCATGAAGTTGCTCGCAATGACGGTGCTGCTCCTCACCATCTGCAGCCTTGAAGGTGGGTGTATTGCGGGGAGGGGGCGCCGGCGGGGAGACGGTACCGGGAGTCCTAGCTGCCAATCTGCCCAGGTCTGGTAACCTGAAGGCTCAGAAGGAAGAGTACTCCCTCTCTGAAGCCCACAAAACCCCTCCAAGAAGCTGGCTGGAAGCCTACTTGGGGAGGGCGCTGAGAGCTGGGGTTGGTAGCAGGAGGCCACAATTCACTGCCATGGACCCAGCTAAGAGAGTCTGTGTGTGTGTGTGTGTGCTTGCACAGGGGCTTTGGTTCGAAGGCAGGCAGAGGAGCAGAGCCTGCAGAGCCTGGTCTCTCAGTACTTGCAGACTGTAACCAACTACAGCAAGGACCTGATGGAAAAGGCCAAGGCCCCCGAGCTTCAGGCCCAGGCCAAGTAAGTCTCTGGGAAAGGGGTTGTGGGGCTGTGCACCGGAGGAAGGAAAAAAGGGAAGATGGGAGGTTCCCACAGGAGACTGAGCTGAGGGACGCAGGTTAGGGAGAATGAAGCTTAAATTGCAGAGTCGAATTTCTGCATCACTCAAAGATGCCACATGGCTCCTGGACAGGTAGGGGCAGTGGGAACAGCGCCTGGAAGTTTCATCCCTAGGGTCTATTCCTCTGCCCAGTGGAGGGGCTTTGCCATCCAGGATGGACCAAGCACTAGGATTTGGGATTAGGGGTTCATCTGCTCTGACTTCCCACCAACAAAATCCCTTCCCTACCCAGGGCCTACTTTGAAAAGACACAGGAGCAGCTGACGCCCTTGGTCAAGAAGGCTGGAACTGATCTATTCAACTTCTTGAGCAATTTCATGGATCTCAAAACACAGCCCGCTGCCCCGTGAGGGGGTCTACACCATTGTCTTCCAACTCCAGCTGGCCTCTTGAGCACCCCTGGGCCAGGCCTGCAGCCCCTCCTTGCCTATCCCTGTTTTCTACAATAAATGGTGGAGGAGTCAACCTGTGAGCATGGTGTGTTTAGCGGACTGTGAGAAGTGGGTAGTGGGGGAGGAGTAAGAGAAAGGAAGAAGAAATCTTCTTGAAAGGACGGAGGACTGGTGCAGAGGTGTGGAGAAAGCACTGGAGAGACAAACAGGGTGAGGGGGCCTGTGATTCTTCTTGGGACCCAAGGAGTCTCCTCCAGGCCTGGGAATGGCTCTGCAGTGGAGTGCTAAAGAACCTTTGCACTGGACATGGAACTATGGAAGGAATGCAGGATTCCTAAGCTGAATCCCTAGAGTTCTAGAGGTCACAAGAAATGAGGGCACTGCAGAATGTCCTCTCCATCATTCTGTGAAGAGCAGAAAGTTTCCAAAAAGTGAACCCAGAGCTATCACCCAAGACCCTCCCCTTCGGAACCAGAAATGCTGTGTTTCCCCCATCCCACAGTAAAGGAGAAGACCTGGGCTCACTCCCCTCCCCCAGGGTGCTCCAGCTCCTCCATTCAAAACCTTTCCTCTGGACTCTGTCTGGGGATGACCCACTCCAAGCTTCCCCTGCCCCCAGCCCTCCTCAACCCAGGTGCTATTCATAGAACTGGCCTGACCCTGCCTTGGAGCCTGGAGCTGGTAGCCATGGCAGCCATTTAAAGGTCTAACAGGTATCCAGCTTGGTGGACATGAGAGACTAGAGACACTTTAGAATCCAAGATACCTGGATTAAATAAGAAAATGCAATGGAAATCAAACTGGGTGAACGGAGGGCAGATTTACAATCCCAAAATGCAGGCCAAGGGAAAATGGGGCATTTCCCACTAAAAGTTTCTTACCCCTTTCACACAGTGACTTCTCTACCCTGCCTTATGTCTTGTATTTCATCTGATATCACTTCTCTGACATTGGAGACGCCTCTAGTGTCTTCTCTATTGATCAACCTTCATGGTCTGACCCTCGAGACCCTCACTGTTTATGATCAATCCCCTCACCTTCTCCTTCCCAACACCCACTTTCTTTCTCAAAACAGGCAGGGACTAAGAGATCTCAGCTGGTCACTTGCAAGGCAAATTAACTTCAGAAAAGCTGGGCTTGATGAGCAGATCAGATGGTACAACAAGCTAGTAGAAAGCATTGTGGAAACTGTTAAGTCACCAGGGGGTGCAAACGATTGCCCAGCATGCAGTGGGCATGGGTGCTGCCAGGGCCAAGCCTGGAGATTCTAGACTCATTCGGAAAGGACTGCTGTGTCACAGGTGAGGCTGAGGACTCCAGCAGCTCTGAAACGGGACAGGCACTGACAGGGGGATTCCCTGACCTGTCCAACCTTACTCCCTTTGCCTTATTCAGCTCCAAACTCTAGCTGGCCCTCCAAGCTCCCTCCTGCCTCAGAACCCACCAAAAACCCACTGTTCTCATAAAACCCTACAAAGGATCCCCCCAGAGCCCCTGGTCACGCCGTTTCTTCTACACTTTCTGCGTGTACCAGGTTGGTTCTGTCTGCATCTGGTGACTATTGGGTTGAATAGCCAGACTGCCCACAATCCATTCTAGATTCTAGGTACAGAATGCCGCGCTGGGTGCGGGAGGCATTTCTTAGATTCTAACGTTTGTGCATGTTTCTAGACTTCCAACACATTACTCCCTGCTCCAGCTCTGTCCCAGAACAGCTGGGGGGGGAGCGGGGGGGCAAAGGTCTCATCCCTCCCCCAGCATTCATCCCGCAATTGAGCAAAACAGCCGTGAAGCCCATTAGACTGTGAGATCCGTGAGGTCAGCAGCCGAGCTTGCCGTACTCAAAAACGGCACTGCATTCCGCCTCAAGCCTAGCGCTCAGTTGCGGCTGCATAAACACGTGATAGTGATAAATGAATGGCTACAGCCCAGTCCGTGGCAGCTTTATTGGGCACACTCCCTTCCCATGGTTAAGTGGGTGTTGGGGATTGGGAAGAGAAGGGTGGGGCAAGGAAGTGAGACTAGAATATAAACATCAATGAGTAGCGTCTGAGTCTTTGACAGGGAGGGGAAACCACTGATGTACATTAATCTGGAGCACAGCACTCTTACGGGGGTAGGACCAGCAGGTGTTAATCGCATGGAGGCATATGCAGTAGCAGCCACAAGGGGCTGTGAGAACTGGAAGCTGAAGGCCGTGACCAAGGGCAGCTACTGTGCTGGTTTCTCATGCTTCAGAGTCTCATACGTCTCCTGGGTCCGGGTGCTCAGGCCCTGGGGGTGGGAGGTGAAGGGCGATCAGGAGGTCGAGCCCATCACAGGCCCTACACCCCTCCCCCGGTCCCTACCGCTGCCAAACGTCACTCAAAGTCCCATCCGTCTGCGGACTTCCTGAGCGGTGGGGGCAGGTTCACTCACCGTGTAAACGGCTTCTGATTTCTGCAGAGACAAAAAGCCCAAGGCAACTTTAGAGACCCACGTCTCCTCCAGGGCCCCCCAGCCTCCCCCTGCCCACCTAAGGTGGCTTGTGGCCAAGGAAAGGGAGCCCGCATGCACCAGAGAGCACTCACACGACGACTCTGGGCCATGAAGACACATTGGCCCACATGGCTACACACACACAACTCTCGCATGTGCTGCTTGTCACCCTATGCTCAGTTCTTCCCCCATCATCTGCTAGATCTCTGGCTGTGGGGCTGAGCTGTATGCACATCAGGACTTGAAGACAAGTGCTTGCCCAGGAGGGCTGAAAGTCTGCAACAATGTAGACACCCGGTGTGGGAAGATCCATACCTCATAGCCTATGGCTGCCTTGCGCACCTGGATCTGAAGTAGAAAAAAGGTCATTAATAACAGGGAGTTAATGGCCCCATCACTCTTCCTTTCAAACTTTGTAGGGGGAGCCCCTGTTGTTCCCCTTCCTCAAATCCGTGCTGCTGCCACCACCTACTTCTCCATCTAGCCCTCAGCCCGTCCTGCCTTACCTTGAGCCGACAGTAGAGCAGGGTGAGGATGATACCGTACAGAAACAGGATGGCGTCCAGGATGTAGCAGAGCTGAGGCTCTCCCAGGGCCGCTGAGGGGACAGAGGGTGCCCATGGGGTCAGTGCACCAGGGGCCACCTGGTGCTCGGAGAGAAGGGCCAGGGCTCTGGGAGGTAGGGTAGGGCCTAGAAAGGAGCCCTCCAAAGGGAAGAAGCTTCTCTTACCCCCTGGACTCCTGTTTCTCTTGCCTTTCCTTTTTCTCTCCCATCCATGGGTAGGGGCAAGGTAGGAAGCCTGATGCAACTTACACGAACTAAGAGCCAGGGATTTGGGGCCGATGTTGTGGCACAGTGGGTTAAGCCCCCGCTTGTGACATCAGCAGCGTATCAGAGCACCAGTTCAAGTCCTGGCTGCTCCACTTCCAACCCAGCTCCTTGCTAATGCACCTGGCAAGGCAGTGGATGAAGGCCCTGGCACTTGGACCCCTGCCACCACCCATGATGGGAGACCTGGAGTTCCAGGCTCCTGGCTTCGGCCTGGCCCAGTCCATTTGGGTAGTAAACCAGCAGATGGAAGAACTCTTCATCTCTCCCTCTCTGTCACTCTGCCTTTCAAATAAACACAAGTTTTCAAGAAGAGTTGGGGACTTCCACCTCAGCCTCTCTCTCTCTCTTTTTTTTTTATTTTTATTTTATTTTTTATTTTTATTTTTTGACAGGCAGAGTGGACAGTGAGAGAGAGAGACAGAAAGAAAGGTCTTCCTTTGCCGTTGGTTCACCCTCCAATGGCCGCCGCGGCCAGCGCGCCGCGGCTGGCGCACCGCGCTGATCCGATGGCAGGAGCCAGGAGCCAGGTGCTTTTCCTGGTCTCCCATGGGGTGCAGGGCCCAAGCACCTGGGCCATCCTCCACTGCACTCCCTGGCCACAGCAGAGAGCTGGCCTGGAAGAGGGGCAACCGGGACAGAATCTGGCGCCCCGACCGGGACTAGAACCCGGTGTGCCGGCGCCGCTAGGCGGAGGATTAGCCTAGTGAGCCGCGGCGCCGGCCTCTCTCTTTTTTTTTTTAAGCACTGTGGGTTCTGTAGGCACCATTGAGCACTTCATCTACCTCAAGGGACCCATCGGAGTTCACTAGGCTGAAACCAAAACCTCAGCCCAGAGTGGTAGGGGGAGGGAGAGGCAGTGGCAAGTTTCAGCAAAGAAACCACAGCAGTGTCTCTGCTAAGTCCTGTGACCTGTGGCTGAGGGCTGGACAGGAAGGATGTGTGCTGGGGAAGGGAGGGAAGGCAATTACTCTATTATTGGTCATCTCTCAGCCTCGGCCTCATGGCTTTCAGTCCCATAAAGATACTCAAATGTCAAAACCCAAGAGCCTGCTTCCCCAGCCCTGTGGACGCCATTGCCTCTGCACACGAAGCTGGGAGGCTGGCCCCACACTTGAGGGAATGACCGCTTGCTACCATTCCACCTCCTGCTACCCTGCCTTACTCACCCTGGGCCTCCGAAGGGAAGTTCTGTGCAATTAAAATATTCACACGGGGTCCGGGCTCCAGGGATTGCGCCCGGCCCAATCAGAAGGACTGTGACCAACACCGGTCAAGTCCTGACACTGGCCAAGAACTTTTCATTCTGTAACACTTTCACACACGCGCGATATTGCACAAGTCTCAAAACTACCCGGGGAGGGCAACGTCATCGCCATTTTATGTACGGAAAAGCTAAGTAACTCGTTCAGCGCCAGAGCCGCGGCTCCCGTTTAGGCTCCCGGTCTCCAAAGCCCGTTGCTTTCCTTTCCACCTCAGGGCCTCTGCTCCCCCACCCCCTGCCCCAGCCACAGCAGCACCCCAGGGCTCCCTGCGCCCTTCCTCCGCCTTCTCAGCTGGACTGGTGGAGCTCCTTGGGCTTCTTTCAACCTTCCCAGTTTCCTTGAAGTTTGCCCAGCTGCCGATCATACAGACCCTGGCACAGACAACTCTAAGTGATCAAGAAGGGAGCGCTCCTAAACGGTGGCGGTGACCGTGACGGGAGCTTCTTGGAACTGGACCCCTCCCATGTCTGCCTCTACCGCTCAGCTAATGCTCTGATCTCTAGAACTGGGCATTCCCTGCTGCCCACCCACCCCAAGCTGTTACAGGTCCGGTGCATTCGTGAGGACCCACAGAAACAGCTAGGACAGCGGTTTGACTACCTTTGATCTCCTAAACGGGGCTCTGTACATTTAACCAGCTAGAGATCAGCTCCCAGTGGGCAAGACTATAACCAACCCACTGGGAAATGCTGATTGTAAGGGACAAGAAAGGAGGGAACGATGACCCGAACACCTCGGGTGAGGGCCGGATAGAACCCGCCCCAGTCTCCATGTTCATCTCTGTGTCCACCTGCCCACTGCTGGCTCTCCTCCGCCTGTGCTGGATTCAGCCCTCCGGCTCTGCCCCTGGAGCCCAGCTCGCTGTCCCTCACCAAACCCTCTCACCTGCTTGTTGAACCTGAAGGAGCAAGAGCAGGAGTACTGCGGGAATCATCCTGGCAGGGGTGAGGGTCCGCAGAAGCCTGACCCGACAGGCAGGGCTGGGGGTCCGCAAGCCTGACCCGACAGGCGCTCTGACACGCTGTGCAGCTGTGCTCCACCAGCGGCTCCCTGACCACAGAGTTCCCCTCTTCCTGCCACGCCTTCCCCTGCGCTTCGGCCCCTTCCCCTTCCTGCACTAGAGACCGGGCGGCTCCCGGAAGGGCCAACTGGGGGAGCAGGGAGATCTGGGCCCTTAAGCCCCAGCCCTTCACTGACCAACCCTCCCAAGCATGTGAGACTATGGTGCTGCACAGAGGTGGTGGCCTCCGCCATCGGTCACTGCACCCCTGTTCAGAAAACAGGTACGCTGCCCCCTGGAGACCCCTCAGGTGTCGCCACAGCCCTCTGTCCTCCAATCCAGAACTCTATCCCCGTCCTGATTTGAGCTCACCAACTTGTATGAGCACTGAGGAGGTCTGGGCAGGAGCGAACAGAGGGGAAAAGAGAAAATGGGGAAATGGAGAAGTGGAACGGAGTCCGAGAAAGGGGTAGAGAGGAACAGGAAAAACTCAAGAGCTGCGCCTCGAAGAGAAACCGAATGCAAACAGACACTCAGGCTCTATGTCAAAGGGAAGCACAGGAAGATAGAAAACAAAGAAACAACAACAACAAAAAACCCACACAACAGAAGTTTGGGCATTGGGGCCGCAAGGCGGCTAATTTATTGTAATTTCTCCTTTGTGGTACATGCACAGAAAGCCCAGCAGCTGGGTGTACATGTCCGTGCACACACACACACACACGCACACACAGCCCCACTTCCAGTGAAGGACAGGCTCCACAGAAGAAGCTGATGGGACAAGGGACGACAAACGCTGTCCCCTGCTCACCGGTCTACTTCTCCAAACACAATATCCTGGGTACCTAGGTCAGAGGGCAGAGGGAAAAAGGGGCGTCAGCAAAGATCCCGGGAAACTGAGGGCCTGAGTCCCTGCCAGTCTATGACGAACAGGACTCGTCCAATTTCTGTTCCCCAGGGGAGACCCAAACGCACTTGTCCAGGGCACCTATACGACACAACAGGCCTCCTACCTATGATGGCAACGACATCCGCCAGCATGTGTCCCTTAGACATCTTGTCCAAGCCAGCCTGGGAAGATTTGAGACAGCAACAGTGTTAGGCAAGACTTGCAGGGTGGGAGGAAAAAGACGAAGAATTCACAAAAATCTCAACCAAAGTCATTCAGTTATTGGAGTTAAAATCATTAGGGGGTGGGCGTTTAGTGCAGCAGTTAAGACGCCACTTGGGAGGCTGGCATCCCGTATCAAAGTGCCTGGCTCTAGTCCCAGCGCTTCAGGACTGCTACCCACATGGGAGACCTGCAGTGTTCCCGCTCCTGACTCTGGCCCAGTGCAGCCCCAGCTGTTGCGGGCATTTGGGAAGCGAAGCAGGGAATGGAAGATCTCTCTGTGTCTGTCTGTCGGTCTCCCCCCATCTCTCTGCCTTTCAAATAAAAATAAATTTAAAAACGTTTCAGTCATGGAGATTGGTTCTTACCAGGTGGGCAAAACCAGGAGCCTTGATCTTGCATCGGTAAGGACGGCTGCTGCCATCAGACACCAGGTAAACCCCAAACTCTCCCTGTGCAAGGAAGGAGGTTGGGTGCTTCCATAAGCAGAACATCTTTCTTTGCCAACAAAACCTCCCTACTCATCCCTCACTGCTGAACAGGTGATTTGTGGCACCTGTCTCCAGTCACTCACTCCTCGTACAGGCCTCTCCTTCCCCTCGTCGCCTCACCTTAGGAGCCTCAATGGCAGTGTATGTGGCTCCCGGAGGAACTTGGTAGCCCTCAGTATACAACTTAAAGTGATGAATCAATGACTCCATGGAAGTCTGAAGAGGAGAAAGGGAGAGTCAGCAAACGGGAGCCAAGCTCTGTCTCAGAGAACAAGCTCTGCCCCAGGGAGGCTACACACCCACACGTAAGCTGTAAGAGAGGAGAGCTGTCAGGATGCTCTTCCCCAGCCCTGGTCTCGTCCCCATACCCCAGACTTCCCTCTCCCTGCAGCCAACCTTCATCTCGGCTCGCTTGGGTGGAGACACTTTAGCGTCATCAACCTTGATCTCGCCAGGAGGCATCTTGTTCAGACACTGAGAGATGATCCGTAGGGACTGGCGCATCTCCTCCACCCGACACAGGTACCTGAAGTGGGTGACACAGGCCCAGAGCGAGAGAAGGGCAGTCAGGGGAGTGGCTTTGGGGCTACGAAGGGTGCCCTCTGGCCAACCTCACTGGAGCTGGGTAAACTGCAGGACCTCTGCGGCTTGGCTGCCCATACAGAATGTGCAGTGTTTTAACTCTACTGAGGCTTTCCCCAAATCCTCTCCTTAAATTCTCAGACCATCAACGGTAGTATTTTCCCCTGTTTAATTATCCCCTTAGACACTTTTTATACTACAGAATGGGTAAGAGGCAAAGGGACTCAAAACCAGAAAAACAGCAAATCTTACTTAAGTGTCAGTAAACAGGAGAGGGATTTGAAGCTTAGAATCTCGTGGAAAGAACACTGAATCCAGAAGATTCTAGTCTCAACCACTCAAACAGAATAATTCCAGACTAATCCCCAAGTTATATGCCGCAGCCTTCTCAGCCATAACAAGCAATCCAGACTAGTCCTAAGACAGGGAAAATGTAGGGGTCAAATAAGATGATGCCACAAGTGTGGAAAGTGCTTTGACAAGCAACCTTGCTTAACACACATACGTGCTCCAGTGCACACTGGCGAATGAAGAAGGAGGCAAAGGAAAGTCACGCAGGGGAAGAAGTAGCTGGACAGTGAGCTGGGAAAGGATAAGGGCCTTACCTATCATAGCAGTCCCCTCGAGACCCGATAGGAACATCAAACTCGACCTGGTCATAAGCATCATAGGGCTGGGTCTTCCGCAGGTCCCACTGGATGCCTGAGCCCCGCAGCATCACTCCACTGTGGAGGGGGTGGCAGGGGTAAGGGCCGCTCTCCAGTAACTTCCTTAGCTCCTCTCTCCCTCCCCACACTCCAGCCATGGGGTACCCACTCAGAGCCCGGCAAGAAGGGTACCACAAATCCCCGAAAGCCCCAGAACTCCCCCACCCCCAGGAGAGAAGCTGAGCTCCTCCCACCTAAAACCATAGTTAAGTGCATCTTCTGCTGTTATGACCCCGATGTCAATTGTCCGATTCCGCCAGATCCTATTGTTGGTCAGCATCTATTGATCAACAAAACGGACATGTTAAAACCCTCCACAAATACTCTTCAAATACCGCTGTGTTTCTTTACAACTGGAACTAAAAGCCTACAAGCCTATTTGAGGAAAAAGAGACCCCCCCCACCCCCATTCATTTCTATCTTACCTCCTCCACCTCATCAATCCGAAGAGAGAAGTTCTTAGAAAACTCATAAATGTCATCCATTAGTCCAAGGGGTAGGTCCTAGAAGCCAAAGAAGCACAGCACAGCCTCCAGTAAGGTAAGCCAGCCTGGACCCCCTCGGTGGAGATTGGCAGGGGTAGGGTGTGCAGGGTTAGCCTTTCCCCCCAGCCAGCACTGCCCCCCAGTGGCCCAGAGGAAACAGGCCTGGGATGGAAGTCAGCCAGGCCAGGGAGCCCACTTACCTGATGCACTCCACCCGGCCGGACGTAAGCAGCATGCATTCGTGCTCCGGACACTCGTTCATAGAACTCAAACATCTTGATAGGACACACTGGGAATTAGTGACAAGGTCCTGGGCCCCTAAAGCCAACAACGCATGGCTCTCTCCCCTGCCCCATGCCTTCCTGTGCCCAACCATGACAGAGTCCCCGAGAACACAACCCAAGTTCAATACACCTTCTCCTCTCTGCTCGCCCTCTCCTTCTACTCTCGACTTTTCTGTACCTTTCTGTACTTCCTTCCCTAGTCCTATCCTTCCCCCCCTCTCATACCTTCTCCCTTTCTTCAAACATCCAGAAGAAAGGGGTCATGGCCCCTATGTCCAGGGCATGTGTAGTCACAGCCATGATGTGGTTCAGAAGCCGCGTGATTTCTCCGAACAGCACTGTGGGAAGGTGAAGACGGGGAGGAGAGTAGGACTTGGGAGCCCAGGACCCAGGGTGACAGAGCAAAGCCCGGGGTCTCACTACCAAGCGTGGGTTCCATGGTCCTAAGATGAGGAAGGGCTGGGGAAGGCGCTGTGAAGCAAGCCAGAGCAGGCTGTACCTCGGATCCACTGTGCCCGGGGAGGAGGCTGGATGTTTAGCAACTTCTCCACTGCCAACGAATAGGCCTGCTCGTTACACATCATGGACACGTAGTCCAGCCGGTCAAAGTAGGGAAGGGCCTGCAAAGAGGGAGGAGCCCGGGTCACGTCGAGCAGGCCCAGGAGCCCACAGGCTCCGAGGGGGCATCGTAAGCTGATGCTGCACGAGCCCTCTCAACCACTCAGCGGCCCCGGCAAGGTGGAACAAGACACCTCAACGACCAGTGCTACGCTGGCTCTCCGAAGTGGGGGAGGACCCTGATTTATCATATGTACCAGTGTCCACGTGAAAATCCTCCCACCGTGGCCAGTTTTAAGTTCAAAATAAACAAATAAATCTTAAAAAGAGAGAGAGAGAGAGAGACCAGAGAGCTCTCTGCTTACACGTAAGAACGCAGCACTAGGTTGAGACGCAGGCGCAGTACATAGCATTCCCACTCTACAGATACAAAGGCACAGCACAGGAAAACACTGAAGTGCCGACGTGGTGAGTTTTAGTATTTCCTACTTTGGCTTTTATGATAACGTACTGAATCCTGAGCTTATATCCTTCAATTGCTAATAGTGGCTGCGTTCAACAACCAACTCCTAAAATCCCCGAAGATTTAGGAGTTGCCTCCAGCACACCACTGTCAACAGGCCAGGGGTCTGAGTGGCACCTCTGGGAAGATGAGTGCCTTAGACTTCTCCGTCTCCCTCTTTCAAGTCTCTTAAAATGACGATACTGAAGCAAGGGAGGTAATTAGTCTTCGGACTACCTGGGAGTGAAGGGTTTAAGGAAGACGGAGTCCCAGGCAGAAGATGGGCCTTCCCAGAATGTCAAGAAGTTAGGTTCTGGCCGTCTGCTGCAGCAACTTTGGCTTCCAGGAAAGAGGTGGAGCTAAGACTTCCCTC